TTTCCCTACGGTGATTATTATAGGTCCATCTTATCTTATCTTATAATGCATCAGAAGGGACAAACTGCACCAATCACATATTGTGAAATGGTTGGAGTTTTCAACATGTGGTTTGTGAATAGAAACAAAACTACTTGGTTGAGTTAAGGCAACAAAAGTTCTGTACGGGGTCAAGATTAGTACAAGGTCAATGTTTGGGTTTACAAGTATGTTTGTTACATAACTTAGTATGTCCTTTATGTTGTTACATCAAATAAGTCAACATTGAGTTTTGGTTTCATGCGGTACATAAAGCGGTAGGTTAATTTAGGTGGATTCAGTATGTGGAAAACCTGCTACAGATTAACATTTAGAACAGGACAGACACAGCTCATAGTTAGAGCCTTTGCATGTAACTATAAGGTAATGGTGGCAGTGTAACTGAGAAAAGAAGATAGTGTGTGAAATATAAAAGGCTTGTTATAATTCCGGCAAATCTACATATAAAGCACTTTCTGACATGGTTACCAGGGTCTCTAACAAGGCAACCAAAGATCTCAGTTGAGTTTAAAATAGCTCAGAATGGTACAACTGTTAAACAGTTTCCACAAGTGGCACAAGGTTAAGTTTTCCCCTTACACTCCTGCCCTGCCCAGCTCAAATGTACCATAGGATGCCAGTGGATGGAGTGTGTGCCAGTGGAAGCCAATTGGCACAACACACACACATTCACACACACAGGCTTAACTATCATCTCAAGCCAATTCATCCACCAAATGGCACTAATATTGTCATTTGCGAGATTGTCTAAACACAAACACACACTCTTTCAATGCACACAATACCTACTGAGGACTTAACTCATTCCAACACACACACACACACACACACACACACACACACACGCACACACAAACACACACACATGTACTCTCACACCCAACACACATGCCAGTAACAGCGTGAAAGACAATCCCCTTGAGAAACGGGGCATTTTGCGCCAAAAGCTCCAGGAGGGAAATCGCATTAAGTGATGTGTGAAGCCTCTGTGGAAAAGTAGATAGATTGAATGCGGCTAAAATTTCATATTATGTCCCTTAATGTTAATGGGGGGGCTGTAAAGACTTGACATCTGAGGCTGGGCTGTCCCAGAGAGAGGTAAAGAAAGGAATTTGTCACTCAAGCTTCTAAACTCTTAAATCTCCTCCTAATACGGTACAATCAGCAGCCTCTAATGTTCAGAGTCGCTTTCCCTCTCCGCTCAGACTTCAGGCTCTGCTCCGATTTTACGCCTTCCTCTGAAGCGGAAAAACAGGGTTCCCGACCCTGTGTGTGTATGTGTGTGTGTTATATACTGTATGTGTGCCGATGGGGGTCTGTATACCTCCCTCCTCTCTTCCCATAGTGGTAGTGTTTTGGCTAGTGTCTCTCAAAGCCTTTTGAAGTCTCTGGTGTTATCTTGGTGTCAGCTGTGGTGATGGTGGTCAAGGTGGGAGAACAACAACACACACACACACACACACACACACATACACACAACCTCTGGGTCAGATAGTTGCTGCGTGGACAACTGGAGTCATTAAATGAAGTCATACGTTGTGTTTTCCCTCTGTTTGAAGTGTGTGTCCTTGCATTCACACTTCCTCTTGTATACAACACTGTGAGTACGGGCTCATGGAGGGTCTGCCTTTGAAAATACTGTGTGTTCAAGCGTTATGGCAACAGAGGACTATTTGTACAATACTATAATTAGCAAGATGACTAAGAACACATCATTTATTTTGTCACTAAAAAGAAATCCACATGAAGATCCTACTGGCATATGCAGGCCATCCATTAATTAACACGTTTACAGGAAGTTATGGGCAGCGTTTTCTCTTTCTGTGTGTTGGTGAGGAATCCTTTTGAATCCTCTCATACACACCCTGATCGTGGTCGGTTGTATGAGTTATAATTGTGTTTCCCAGAAGGACGTCCAAGCCCAGAGAAGACACACACTCACTCACATTAACTTTGAATCATTCAGTACACTCAGCCCTGCTTCATTTGAACGCCGCAACTCCACATGCAGCAACGAATACGGTACATACCCACATCAAATCCTTTACGATGGGGAAACGTCCACATATAGGTACTTAGTAACTACATTTCTTCCCTGCTGTCATATGTTTGAGAAAAACTTGGATATTTTATTTTATATTTCATAATGTAACAGCTTGACAATGTTTTTTCCCTTGTTTTTTGGCTTGCGTCGCAGTAACTGACACACACAAAACGTCTAGAGTTCAGCTGTGGAAACAAACTTATTTAGAATGATTTATTTCAGTTAGTCTGACTTTGGATTTAATTATTTTGGATACAGGGACACACCACTTCGGGAAATGTTTTTTCCTGTCTTGCCACCCATCACACAGTACTCCATTAGCTATATCTACGTCACGCACATCCGCTCTTGTAGAAGCCCAGTTAGAAACCTGTGTATACCGTACAGGGCAGAGAAATCTGGTTTCTGTATCACAAAACAAGCCGTGGACGCCAGATTTACCTTCAACTTTAAGCATAAAAGAACAAACCAGACTCTCGTTAAACATCAGCAGACTGCAGACTGTCAGAAAGAACTCTGTTACTAACTGTAAACACACTGAGAGATCAACAAGAAGGTCTTCACTCGGTCCGTTTGAGTTGTTAGTTTGTCTGTGTTGGTTGTGCACCAACCAGGGTTTCATTTTGGGATCCAAAAAATGTCATGTATTGTAGTGATTATGACTCGCTATACTATAACTATCAGAGTCAGTAGAAGTGATTCATACTAATATGCCTCAAAGTAAAAACCTAGCTTAAGTTATATTAAGCTTAGTCATACTGTAACAAAAGCTTATTTCTATATGGAATATAATCATCAATCAATTAAAACACATGTACACTTAGTATATTTCAGGCATAACTTAACTTTAAAAGACTAATAAGAGATAACAAAATGATATGGTCAAGACATTTGACCTGAGATTTAATTAAAAAGTTTCATGATGATTTCGAATTACATTTGAAAAGGATAACAGAATAGAATTTTTTTACCTATAACTTATAATAATTAGCAAATAATTATTAAATAATTTATCTTACAGTGGACAGGGTTTCTGTTTTGCGTGGTTAAGTTACTGTTTTGGTCAACGTAGTATGTTGGCCTAAGATAAAGCATAGATTTTGGACATTTGATAATTTGGGTTCAATTTTAGCCGTTTTTGTTGTTCTCCCTAGGTTTTGTCCCTGACCCTAACCCTTATTATGAGTATAACCTTAGACCCAGGGCAGAGGTCCTCTGGTCCCTCCAAGGCTGAGCTTCAGACTAAAGGTGAAACCACCATAAGTTCAGCCTCTGCTCTTCTGACACGGTCACCTATGACATGGCCTCTGAAATGAAAGTCCTACAAATTGGCTAAGGGTGGGGGGAAAGTATGGGCTCAGAACAGTCTCATAATACACACATGCACACAGAAGGATTCACACTTGTATTTCATGATCCGCAAAAGGATTCACACTTGTATTTCCGGATCCACACTTGTGTTTGTCAATGCACACACAAATGTGTTCCGTTTCATATTCATGTAAATAAAATCCAAATACAGAAAAAAGTTTTACATATGTATTTTTGATCCTCACATATTTGTTTTCCGTTTAAAACCGCTGTAGCCAATCAGATGTCTCCTCAATTCTAAGCCAATCACATGAGCGCGCCCCCACGAGGGTAGATTTCTTGCGTTCATGACGTAGCGCTTCATGTACGCATTTTGCGCTGTCCGGAGCTGACAGGTCCATGGAGCCTGCCTGCAGGCGCTAATCTCAGGACACCTCCACTCTCAGTACATTGCCACTTTCCGAGCAGGAAATGCACGCAAATACAAGCCTTTATATTATTAAGGTACAGTGCCACTTTCCGAACCATTAATAGATGCTTGTGTACACAAAAACGGCAGGCAAAACCGTTTTAAATGTGTGTTTCCTGTATGGCGAATACAGCTGCTTTATTTATGTCTGTATGAAGTTGTTGTGAGTGTGGAGGGAGCAGCTACAGGTTAGCTTAGCCTAAGCGATCAGTGCACTACGAAGCCAGTGCTAGACAGTGAACTGTCAACGGGGGGAGCCCCGCCGGTCATTATCGGCCGATATTCACTCTTAATAGTTTGATCGGTGCTCTCTATAAAGGCCGATCAGGAGAGCTGGATCTGATCGATATGGACATAAACGCGAGTGAAGTTTTAGCGAGCTGCATGAGAAACTGACGGGCTGTCAGGAGAGAGGGAGGGAGAGAGGAAAAAAGATGATCCCCGTGTTATTAGCCATATCCGGTCATAGTCCGGTAATTACCTGCTAACGGAAACTCTGCTACACAATTCTTCTTCTTCTTCTTATTATTATTGAAACATGACCGGTAAGTTTCAAATTTGTCCGGTAAAATAAATTCTGTCCGCGGAAACCCTGCTCCGGACAGCGCAAAATGCGTATATGAAGTGTCATGAAGTGAACGCAATAAATCATACCCTCGTGGGGGCGCGCTCATGTGATTGGCTTAGAATGAAGGAGACATCTGATTGGCTATAGATAGAAAAAATTACAAGTACGAATCGGGTGGCCGTCAGGGGAGTCTCAAAAAACCCACACACGAATGCACAGCGATCCATGCACAGAAAGCGGTTTGTGTTTGCAGGTTCAGGGGATTTAAATGGAAAACAAATATGTGAGGATCAAAAATACATATGTAAAACTTTTTTCTGTATTTGGATTTTATTTACATGTATATGAAATGGAACACATTTGTGTGTGCATTGACAAACACAAGTGTGGATCCGGAAATACAAGTGTGAATCCTTTTGCGGATCATGAAATACAAGTGTGAATCCTTCTGTGTGCATGTGTGTATTATGAGACTGTTCTGAGCCCATAGGAAAGTGGCACATAAGTCACATGCATCAAAACACTGTTTACAGACTTTGTATAAACGTGTTTCCTCTTTCTGTCCTCAGATGTGACGGGTGCGTCTGTGTGTCCTCCGGTGGCCCTGGACGCCGGTGTGGGGCTCCTGTGCCGGCTGTTTGAGCTGTGGGGACAGGTCCCAGCCGGGGCCCTCGCTCTGACAGAGTGGCTGCTGGGAGATGAAGAGGCTAACTATGAAGCGGTGGCAGAGGAAGCTTCCAGCCTGGTAAGAAGTCATCACGTAACAGTAAGAGTAGCTTGGTCTTAGCGAGATCAGAGCAACCACATATCAACAGTACGAAGGAACAATGCAAGATATCTGTAGAGTACTTATAGGACATTAATGCACAAACGATTAAATCACAAACAGTTTTTCAGATTGGTTTATGATGGTGTCCGTAAGTGTGGATTCACAGGGACAGACTGCACTATATTTTATTTTCCTTGCCCTTGTTTTTCTCTGGTCATAGTAGTAGTCAAAATAGCTAAAGGCTTTAATCCATCAAGGTTTTTGCTTTCAGGCCACACTTTACTAAGATGTCTGTTCAGTGTTTGTTCCAGTTGAGTTACTTTTAATTTCTACTTAAATCTAACTAACAGTAAATCATTGTGTCTTGTGGCTGATTGCTTAATGATCTTCAGCAGTAGTTGCTGCACAGGTCAATATTTGTATTGTACCTGGGGCTGTTTTTGAGAGAAATGCTCATTTAAACAAACAACTTGCACAGTTTTAATGAAGATTCTATAATTCTCATTTGTCTATCATTTTCTATGAAAGCACCTCAACTTTGTTTGTTAGCTAAGTTAAATTGTTCTTTAGGTTTGGATTCCAGTTCTTGACTTCATTCTCTTGAAAAACAAATGAACTTACAGAGAACTATCCCCTTTTTTTGGAGTTCCTCTCAGTTATACAGAGTCATTTTGTGTATTAGAGCTGATGGTTTTAGTTTTTCAGGTACTTAACTTTACTGGTTTGATTTACTGTCCACCTATTTATGTTCTGATGTAAACCAATTTTACAGAGAGTGAATATTGACACCTCATTTATCAGGGAGGGGTCCAGAAACACAACCGCTATGCTAATGTTGCTCTATTTGTGTAGGTATATATAGGCAACAACTTGCTATCGCATCCATCATATCAACTTAGGAATTGTTTTCAACTTGATCTTTTGCAGAAAAAATACAACCAGATTTAAATCAACATCCCAGTAATCACATTTCCTTTTGCTTGTGCCCAGGATGATGAGGACTTCCTGTTTGAGAAGGGGGGTCTGAACCTGTGGGCGGAGCCTGTCCAGTGGGTGAAGCTGCTCCACCGACACGTTCACTCCCTCCTCCTGGGCTTCAGGCAGACCCAGGCCCCAGGGGTCCCGGGTCAGGACCAGGTCCACCAGATCCAAACACTGTCAACTCAGGCCCAGGCCCAGGCACTGAGCTCCCAGAATGCCTTGGACTCCCTCCCAGCTCTGCCGCAGTTCTGCCTCACCATGGAGCACGCCCGGCTGCTGCTGCGGCTCCAGAGGGCCACGCTGGCTCTGGAGGTGCTGGACAAGCTCAGGTAGACCAGTAAATAGCACACTTTTTAGTTTTAAGGGAACATTTTGATAATTAGGGTTGAAATAAAGGAAGAGTTGTCAGATAAATACTTCAACAAATCTGGGACACAGACTGGCTACGTGATCTTTTTATTATCATTTCAAGGGAATGAAGGAACCATTTTTTTTAATTATTCTGTCATTGTCTGTCTTAAAATTGTTGTTCTCATAATTTACCAAATGTCTTTCAATTCTTCTGTTCACTGATGTCTTTTTTAATAAACAAACCAAAGTATGCCAAAGTTGTATTTTTCTTGAAGGGATAGACATTCGCAAAGAGGCTGGAGAGAGAAAACATAGAAATCAAATGAACACCGTGTGAATTTGTGTGCAGAAGCCATAACAATAACTCAGCAGGAGCATGTGCACAAACAACACTCGCCGCTCTGTTCCCCTATCAGTGGGAATGTGTCACACGACAGACTTCAACAGTGTCAGTATTGAGTACACAGGCCGTTCTGCTTTCTCCACGTCTACTAGGGATTTAAGGTTGGATCAAAACAACTCTGCGCCTAAAGCTTCCAGTTCTGACTTCAATGGCGCAATTGTGCGGCGACACAAGCTTTAAGCATGGGATTCTGAAAGCAAGTCTCTGACACGTTCCCAAAGTTGTATTTCAGTATACGCTTCGTCTCTACTGTATGTTTATACGAGGTGTTATTTTCCTGTGATATTTAATTTACTGCAGGATTCTTCCCATTGGATGGTGTTTTTATGCTTCCCTCTACTTTTCCTGCTTATGTAATTAGGAGGACGGCACAATGGACTACTGTCCTCTCTCGCTGTGTGTGTGTGTGTGTGTGTGTGTGTGTGTGGTGTGTGTGTGTGTGGTGTGTGTGTGTGTGTGTGGTGTGTGTGTGTGTGTGTGTGTGTGTGGTGTGTGTGGTGTGTGTGTGTGTGTGTGTGTGTGTGTGTGTGTGTGTGTGTGTGTGTGTGTGTGGTGTGTGTGTGTGTGTGGTGTGTGTGTGTGTGTGTGTGTGTGTGTGTGTGTGTGTGTGTGTGTGTGTGTGTGTGTGTGTGTGTGTGTGTGTGTGTGTGTGTGTTCATGCTGCCCTCTCTTACAGCTGGACCCTTCTCCCTCCCTGGTAGCCGTGTTCCCTGTTACAGTAAAACTGATGTAATGTTTTGGAACGGCTCAACATCCCCCAATAAAAACAGAGCTGTGTGATGGGAGAGTGGTTTCTGCGGACAGGGACATGTTCTAGGGATTTCTCAGGAGGAGCCTCTCCGTGTCTGTCCTTCACATTAAACTATTTATCACTACTTGCAAAGCGCAAATAGTCCTGGGACAGCCCTCAGACTAATTTTAGGGTTGGTAGTAGTAGATTCCAAGCTCTTATGTCACTTGTTTTTCGCCTTTTGCTATTTTTTTTTTTCATCTCCCTCCCTTCTTCTCCAACCAAACCATTCAGCACTTATATTGAATCATGTCAGCGAAAGAAATTCATTTCTTTTCAACCACTCTTCCAATTATGATCCTATGTTGAAAGGCTTAATGGTTACTGTCGCAGAAACCGGCAATTTCTGGTGATATGTGTCGCTCAAGGTTTTTACACCCTCCTGACCAAAATATGTCCTGTGGAGCTCTTGATATAGAGTCCCGTCCTCTGCTGCCAACGCTGAAATCTTTCCACTGTGGTTCTTTTTAAAAAAAACTTGACAAAACTCCAGCAGTAGTTTGACATTTTCATGTGAACATTCTGACATGCTGAGAAGGTTACATCATGCTGAAAAATACTTATGGCAGCTTTTTTTGACGTTACCAAAAGGATAGGACTGAGGATGACTAAAACATGCTGTATCCTGTCTGAAAAAATATAATTTATCCACAAAGAAGTGACTTTATAGCTGCAAAATGATCCTGAGTGCAGTTAAAATCTTGCTCCAGCTCTTCTCAGCAGGTGGCGCACTATTCTTGATGTTCAGTTCTCCCTTTCCTCTCATGGGGGCAGTGTTGCTCCGCTGCACCACATGAAAACCACATTCCTGCAGTCTGGGCTGAGATTGGGAAAAACAAGTCAGGGAAGGAATTTAGAGAGTGGCTTTAAAAGATTTAACCAAAGTAAATCCATTTTGTGCTTGGAGTGACTCGACATGTTGTGCTTTTTTTTAGGCATTTCTGATCTTAAGGTGAAGGCAACATTTAAAGACAAAAGAAAAGTGGGTCATGTGAGCACATCAGGCTTTAACTTGTATGTGTTCCATGTGTAGTAGACTGGAATAGGCTGTGGAAGTAGATTATGCAACCAGTGGATTCTAAAATGTGTGCTGCACTCTGCCTGGACTCCTCTCCGCTCATACTTGTGGTTTCACTCCATCCACAGGGAGAGAGAGGCAGAGTTTCCTTCCATTACAAATACATGTGTCAGCTCCCAACAGTATGGTGGTCCACAGAGGCTAGAGGGGTGGCCTTATCACTGGCGGGCTGTTGGTTTAAATCTTTGCTGAGGAGTTAAGGCTGTCAGTTGTAGAGCTTTTGAGCGGCGTACTGATTAATGATATGTGTGTATGGTTAATTTGCTTTAGCTTGCATGCATAGTAGACGTCCCTTGATGCTTCCACATTCTTTCTCAGCGAGAGTCAACCAAAAAAGCAAAACCAACTTCCACAAAATTGGTTGTGTTATAAAAAAATAAAAAAGTTTAAAGGTGGTGGTGGTGGGGGGGGGGGGCGTTGCTGGGTTGGATTTCAAGGCGTGGTGTTGTAGAATAGGCGACCAACCGGTGAATGGAAGTTTTTTTCGGGGAGGAAGGGAGGAGGCGGCTCCTCGCAAAACTTTGCACCGACTTGAGTTCGCCCCTCCCCGGCCACCGCAAGGCATTTATACCCATGTAAAAAGGCTCGAGCGGACAGTGAAGCACTCTGGCTCAGCGCTTCTCGAGGGGAGGACATAAAGCCACCTACAACTCCACCATACAAACCTATCCCCCTTTTTTCCCTTCATTTTCTACGGACTTAAACTGAACACAAACTTTTTCCACAACCAAAACCAGTCGTGGCACAAACTACCGTTTCCGCACGTAGCGTTCAAGGATCCTGGTCGGTCCTCCATGAAAGAGGGAGTGCAGCAAACTTGGGGAAACGAGATGTCTGCGACAGTCTTGTCTGCGTTCTACGACATGGACATGCTTTATAAGGTAAACGTTTATATCATACAACAATAATGTGTTTCCTTTTTGCATTCAGGGTGAAGCACTTTAACGTAAGAGTTGAATAAGCTGCTTCAAGTTTTCTGTGTGCAACAAGTTGTCACGTTGCAGGCAAACGTAGTTAATAACATGCCATGTGGTCAAAATAATTTCCAAATGTGAGCCTGACGTGCATTGCTAACTTGTATCTTTTCTTTTTACAGCAAGATAAAAGCATGAACATGAACGCCCTCCACATTAACAGCATGCTGGACAAGAAAGCTGTGGGGGCTCCGGTCACGTCTCCGGGCTCCGGTAGCCCGTTCTCGCCGGGATTTTTCCGCAGTAACTCAACCAGCAACGTGGAGGCAATGAACAACGGCAACAAATACTCCATGGGCTCCTACAGCAGCCTGAAGGAGAACATACCAACATGCAACAGCACCGCCACGGCCCTTATGAACAAGGAGAACAAGTTCCGCGACCGCGCTTACAGCGACAACGGAGACCGGGGCCTGCTGCAGCAGAAGCCCGGCTCTCAGATCAACTCCACCCGCTACAAGACAGAGCTGTGCAGGCCATTTGAGGAAAACGGGTCTTGCAAGTACGGGGAGAAATGTCAGTTCGCTCACGGCTACCATGAGTTGAGGAGCTTGTCCCGCCACCCTAAGTACAAAACAGAGCCGTGCCGCACCTTCCACACCATCGGCTTCTGCCCGTACGGTCCCCGGTGTCACTTTATACACAACGCCGAAGAGCGCCGGTCCCCTCCGCCCACCAACGCTAACATGCAGGCGGGAGAGTCCCGGTCAGCCCGCGAGCTGTGCGGCTACGGGCAGAGGGACATCCTGCCGCCGCAGCTCGGCTACACCCAGAGGGACAGACCAAAGCTTCACCACAGCCTCAGTTTCTCCGGGTTCTCCACCCACCACGGACTCGAGTCTCCCCTGCTCGACAGCCCCATGTCCCGGACCCCTCCACCCCCTACCACCACCTCCTCCTGCACGTCCACCTCCAGCTTCTACGAGGACGTGTTGTCTCCTAACTCCATGTCCTGCATCAACAGTGCCTTCTCTTTCCCTGGACAGGACTTAAAAGCCTTACTGGCTCCCCTGGCTGTGCACACCCCCAGTGGCTACGCCAACAACCACTCCACCAGTGCCTACTACGGGAACATGCAGAGCAGCCAGTGCCCTCCCTCCCCTCCGACCTACAACATGAGCCACTTGCAGGCGCTGCGCCGCCTCAGCGGGTCGCCGGTGTTCGAGCCTCCTCCCAGCCCACCAAACTCGCTCTCTGACCGGGAAAGCTATGCGAGCGGGTCCCTCAGCTCTTCCGGGAGCCTCAGCGGCTCCGAGTCCCCGAGTCTGGACGCTGGAAGGCGTTTGCCAATCTTCAGCAGGCTGTCGATTTCAGATGACTAATCGTTTTTTTGTTTTTTTATGGATTTATGGACGGGTCAGGCAGGGTGGTTAAAGGACCCGGGGAGTGTCAGTGAGTGAGCTAGACTGTCCTTCAAGCAGAGGAACCAGGTTAAACCCCCTCCATCCCATTTCAGCTACAACCACCCTGCCGATGTGCCTTAGTGTAAGACATTGATTCCCTACCAGCTCCAGGGGTGCTGACCCTGCTCTGACCTCCCTGGAGGGAGGCAAGAGAAGAGAATGTCACCCACAGGGATCAATAAAGCTTCAGACAGTTTAAAGTGTGCTTGACCTGGCATTAGTTAGTCTTTTTTTTCCTTGTATGTAATATAGCTGTATTAAAACTTAGATAGCAAACAGAAGGCATTCCATCAGTGCCTTGCCCGAGGGCTCATGGCAGCCCCTCTCCCTTTTTGCTCTATCAGGCAAGCCACACTTTTCCTGGGATTAGATGTGTGGGTAACATGACTTGACAAGAAGAAGAGACTGTAAGCGGTTTTCAGATTTCCTCCCATCCTGCCAAGAATATGCCTTGACTCAAAGTAACATTTTTTTCTTTATCAAAGTTTTTTTTCTTCTTTTTCTTCTCTGAAAGCTTCAACTTCCATTCCAGACCTGTCTTTTCCCAGCGCCACCCAGTGGTTTGTTTGGTTAGTCTAGTTTGTTGCTTGGATAAAAAGCACTC